CTGGACTTCCGGATCTGCTGTCTCAGCCAGACAGCGCACTGCCTTTGAGCCCAGCTGTGTGCCACTTACACACATCAAGGCTCTCAGTTGACTCACTGCCAGGTCAGCCTTGTCACCCACCATTGGGATTCTCTGGGGACAAGGCTAGCCGGTTGTCCTACCATTAGGAGACTGTTTACTGTTTAATCAGAGGCCTAGACCCTGAATGAGGGAACCAACCAATTGGAACTTATCAGTTGTGTTGGCCGCTCTAAGCAGACTGCCCGTTGAGCCTCTCCGATCAGCACTACTCAAACTTTTGACGTGGAAAACAGTCTTTCTACTCACCCTTGCCTCAGGTAGGCGTCGGGCTGAACTAGGAACAATGGGTGTGTTGCCTTTTTGGACAATCAAGTGATAAAGACAAGAATCGGGGTTCTTGCCAGGAAGCAAATCCCAGGACGCGATCCACAACCGATCGTCATTCCTGTAATGACTGACAAGGAGGCAGCACCTGAATTTTGATTGACGCAATGAACCCGGGACCCGCCGTAGGCGGCAGTATTTTCATGCGGACTGAGACAAGAATCAATTTTGGGGGTCAGAAATCAATCAAGACGTTTTTTTCGGTATAATTTGCGCTGTCAAGACAAAGTTCAGGTTAATAAAATAAAATTGACGACGTTTTCCCAGGAGAAAAAAGTGAATTATTTGTTGTAAAAAGCGGAGAAAAATTGATACGCAAAAATCGTGACGCATCGACTCTACGCATGCAAGTACATTGTACTAAAGGTAAGAGCCTTTGCCTTTTTCCACAAATTTTAATATATTCTTAACAATTACTTCACCTTTAAAACTCTGCACACCATGCTATGATCATTCAGTGTTTTGAACTAAACGACTCATCGCTTAGCAAAGCCAATTTTCAGGATTTATTGGCACATGATGTCATGAATCAGGGAATCTAATGACTAAAAATAAATCACCAAATATTGCATCGTATATAAATGATGACACCGATTTACTAGGCATATGGCCCGTGAAGTCATGATTTGTGTGACGTGCACATGCACGGTGCGACTAGTAACAATTAACTAACCTACCGATCCTTCATGGCCTCAGTTGTCACGATGCATCTCAATAAAATAGCATCTAAAACCAAAATAAGTCAAAATAGTCTGGTCTATGCAGCTAGCAATAATGAAATTGCAAGAACAGCATTGGATATGATTTATAGTCTTTGCCCATTAATGTAATGTTATAGTGTCTATGAGGTATGTGATCATGATTAATCTTCATGATCATTTGTGTCCACGCCATTAATTATATAGGCTACCACACACTGTATAATATTGAGCAAAATGTCATGCAAGAAATTGCATTCCATTCACCACATTGGCATGGCTGGTTGTACCCATTCTTACTTTTTCATGACCATTGTTTGGCCCACTACAATTTTCTTGGGACAGATTGTTATCACATGCAAGAAACAGCAAGAGCTGTAATGTATACGTAAAAAATGTTCTTATCATGGTCGTGATGTTGCTATTGTAGGTAAACGGCCACAGCAGGAATGTACATAACTGTCATTTATTAGACAGAAACTGATAGGGGCCAATTCCTTGTGCTGATGTCTACATATACATGCACATCAATGAAAATTTTGCTGTTACCAGCTGCCATTTTTGAAATGGTGCCATCGATCAACAGTTCATGCCACTAATCTCAACCTTAAACAATGACATGTGTTAAGCCCAAATTTTATTTTTTTGGAAATGAGTTACCATTTTCTAAAATGAACAAAAGTTGATATTAATACCATCATGTAAAATGATTGTATTTAATATAGACTGAACATGTTGGGAAAAAAATAAATCTAAAATAATAAAATCCCTGTCTAACTACCCAATATTGTTTACCCTAATACTGGAAACACCAAATTTTGTTTTTCATTGGCCTCATAATGGTTTGAGATCTTTTCAACATGGTCCACATAAATAATGATGGATGAACTGGTATTTTGCACAAACAGGTCCATGCATTTACATTCTATGTTTCTGGTTTGATGTTGGCTCATTCACAGCCCTGCCATTGGTGATACCAGGATTTTACTCTTACTGTCTTATGCAAACCAACAATGCTGAATCTGCACATGGTCAATTCACTCCGGTTATATGTCAGATGGCACATTGCCCTTACCATGCGATAAATTCATTACTTTTACGGGTTCTATCAGTCTGATTGGATTGATATCATCAATTATTTTCCTAGTCATTCTAAAAGGACAGTTGGATGAACATACAATAGCCTAAAAGTAAGGGGGTATATGTGTACGCCACCCTGTAACTTTGCATGATATGGGTCTATAATACTGTCTTGTACAATTTTGTAAACAGTTAACTACTGTTTTTGTACAGTTTATTGTTGCTGCACATATACAGACAACAGGATATAATATTTTCGGCAATATGACTACGACCAAATTGGTTGTCGGTGGTGATACCTAGCATTTGGGTCTTCCGTCAACACTCATGTGCTTTTGCACCATCAGTCGTTTGATGCACATCATACCAGACTTAATCATAACACTCATTATAATGTGAATGTGCATAATCTGCGTTTATTTTCATTGAGAGGATGCTTGAATGCACGGTAGTGCTTTCAGCATCCTTTCGCCAGTTATTTACAATGTGCCTCAAGATTTAATTATAGAAAGTCCAATCATTTCCATATTGTTTTTTATTTTCTTCCAGACGAGATAATTTAACCATCACCTGTACCTCCTACTGGTTAAACTTGACAATTTTTTTAGTTTATTCTTACTCGAATGTTTTTTGTTGGTTAAAATAAAAAATAAAAACTTTATTATTTCCTTGTTCATTACAGACGATTATTTTATTCACACTATTTTTACATGGTTGTCTTCCAACTAGTCATGCAAAGTGATGTCTAATAGCAACTGGCCAAATTACAATCGAGTGGTGGGTGAGTCACAGTCAAGTACAAATAAGTCATTCACTGCCGAGGAACAAATGTAATCATTCTTTCCGATCAAGTATTTTAACCGCCTCCTCTTGATTCAAATGACATAACCAAATAACTTAAGACCTACTTCCTATAACACACAACACAATATTAATATAATTGTTCCAAACATGTATACATTGTCACAGCATAATCAATTCCATAAATTTACCAATGGCTCAAGCAAATCATTTGCCCATGTTAACTATATCCTCTTTTGTAATCCATCTAATATTTTTATCTTGTGTTTCAATTACATAACGTTAGTCAAAAAATGGAAACTTCTATTATTTAAACTGCTCCACAGTCTCAGATGTACCTGCCGAAAGCACAACCTTGAATGTTCTACAGTTTGTGGTCAATGTCGAGGATTTGGATGCACAAATGTAGTTCAGATATCTGATGAAGATAGCGATGATGATTAGCAATTACATTTAATCAAACAATAAACTTTTTCAAACAGAATTATAACTATTTAATACAGTTTGTTAAATCAAAAATATAGTTTATAGAGTTAAACAAAGTTACGTTTAAATGGTCTATTATGTATATAGTATAGCAGATTTGTAGATCCAACCAGGTGTTTCATTCCTCTAGTTTTTCTTTTAGATGTGACGGCCATGTTGGATTTATGCAGATGAAGCATTTGTCTACCCAGGAAACCATTTGTTTACAAGTTTTCTGTACTGTACGATTCTGTTTAAAATTGTATTTTAGCATCTTAAACTTATTACTTATGCCACATAGAAGAGAAGACGGAAGAGAAGTTGCATTAAATAATGATATTATCGCGGCCATATTGGATTTATGCTAATTTTCATCTAACCAATCAACACATTTGGCACTCTCATACATTCTCCGACTCAAAACAGTACCATAGCATCATGCATTTTTAAAATACCTCATCTAGAATTAAAGATATGTTCAAATAGTTATATTTCCATGTTAAAAATGTGAATATATGCAACTTAGGTATATTTCGGATGCCTAGATTTTCCTAGATAGATACCTTGCCGAAAAGCACTGAGAAGAAATCATTTCTGTTGCAATGTGTGACGGATTGGCCCCCTTTTTTGCTAAAATGACTGAACTATATTGTGAAAACAGGGAATCAACAAAGACAAAAGAGATTCGCTAAATCATCATTTCGCTATTACGTAATTTTACCACAATTTGCTAAAATAGTATGTCGTTTTTTCAACATGTTTTACAGTATGTCTAAATGATGTTCACCACACCGTAATATCATTCACAAACAACATAATGTTAAACAAATTTAACGAATACACAATGTTGTAACTACTAGTAACTGAGAAATAACAATAATATAATATGTAACAATAGACCTACGAGTTGGTACCTGTAAATGCAAGACATGTTGTGGTGAAAATTATTTGTTGTAAATGTTGTTTTGTTGTATTTATCGTCGGTATTGTCGTCGCTGTCAGCGTGCTTTTGGAAATATTTGCATATGGATAGAAAAGAACGCCTGGTTAACTACTAAGTAACAGAACAGAATTTAAAGTAGTCCACAATCCCTGTGCGCACTTGTATAAAGATTGTAGCTGCCGTGGTTACAACTTTCCTGGTTACAGGATACACCGCATCACTCGTGAAAATAACATCCCGGCCATATTTCCCATTGTCTGCTATTTATTAAATGCCACCTATCACAAATTGCAGAGAGCACATGTATGTTTCATATCACATAAGTGGTAAAGGTGCACACTCAATATTTTAATGAAATATTAGAAATAGTGTTTATATACACGCACATTTTATTACACTTTATTCATTTATATTAATGTATTGAGGTTAAAACATAATTACTTGATCAAAAAAGGATATGTAAAACATTGATTCAAGGCATGTTAATGCCTGCTTGCTTCAAAATGCTATGCTAATGTGTTTGCTTACAGCCTCGCTTTTATATTTGACGTCACACTAATCGGTGTCACGTCTATCAAGAGACGAAAGGTTGCGATTCAAGGTCATACATAATATAGATTGATTTGCCCCTACTCGTGTTATTCAGTTTGCGACTCGAGAGCTAACATGACGATGTTAATAGCTAAGCTGTCTTGCACAACAGGAAGAGCACTGTATCGATCATCACAAGCGCTAAGTAGCATTGGCGGAATACGTATTGGTCGTCAATTTGGTCGACATGAGACACGACCAGCGTCGGGATCCGCATCAACTCGCGAACAGCGGCACGGTACTTCCGACGCAGCTCAACGAAACTATGAAGCCAGAGTGGATTTAGCCGCTGCGTATCGTGGAATATGTAATTACGGTCTCAGCGAAGGGGTCTGTAACCACTTATCCGTCAATGCACCGGCCAGCAATGGTTCTGGACGTTTGATGTTATTAATACCCCATGGGCTACACTGGAAAGAGGTAGGGTAGATAACCTTAGTAGAACAACGTTGACGGGTCAACTTTGAACCTCTGAACTCTGTGCACTACCCCCATTTTTTTTTTAATTATTTGTGGCCAACTGAAAAGAGGCGTGTCTCCAATCATTGTCAATGAGGTCAAATTTGTGTTTTATGTTACAGATAATTTGTCGATAGTCAATTTTTGCTTAGGTTGCCATTTGGAAGATGATTTGGTGACTTAGATATTGGTTGAACGGGTTGGCACGGCTAAGTGCATACTGATGTCAGAAATAAAATGTTATGGTTTATTTTATTTTGACGAATCACTTCGTATATTTTCTTACAATAGAACGCAACTATTTTTTTATATTTTCTCTTTGTAAATTGAACTCATTGCATTATATGATCGCGGATTACATATGTGTATTTAAAGAACATATGAATCACTGACTTCGAACCGAGCATTGCGTAAAATTCTGATATTGGTTTCCATGACTAATTAAAATATTTGTTTTTTGTATTTCAAAAAGATTTTTCTTTGTTGGCATGTTTTAAATTAAAAATAAATGTTAGATTGCTGTATGCAAATGATATGCATCAATATGTAAATTTATGCAAAATAAACCACCCACCAGCTATTTTGGGTTTTGCGTATTTTTGGAAGCACTTTGTTTCTTAATATGCAAATTATATGCATATGTATGTAAATTCATGTGTGGATAACGGTATCTCGATAATTCTAATCTGGTTTAAAGATGCATATGAATAATGCAAAACCTGATGAGGTTTTGGTGGGAATTTGTGCTGGTATCTGCTAAACGTTAGTCATTATAGGGTATTGATGATGTTGTTTGAATATTTAGATGTAGACTTGATTGTAATTCATTTAATTTGATTTTATTTGGCTATATTTTGTCATTGCTAAGGGTGCATCTATATATTCTTGATATTCGGTAATCAGTTCAAAATGGCTTCCTTCATTGTGGAGGTCTGTCGTTGTCTTGTTGTTAGCATTTGGTGGGCTTCGGAAAAATAATGTTACTATAAGTTTATTACAAGAATACCTCAAAGTATACACGAAGACAGTACAGCTGGAGTATCGACCGACGCGCAGGATAGGATACATCATGGGAATGCCGAAATCCAAAAAGTTTAGAACAGCCTGAGAATCAGCGAACTTTTTTGTGTGGAGTCCGGTCAAATCCTGATGGCAGCTATATTTGTTTTTATTATTAGTGGACGCCTACGCTTATATGGTAGGGTGAAAATACGCGAAATCATTTAGTTCTACTATTGATTACCTTGATAAAATAAAGATAGAATGTTAGTATATTTGTGCCTATAAGTATCTCTGTCTTTTCTAATATGTTTGTGGTTATTCAAGTTCATGCTTTGCAAATTAGTCGTCTACCCATCTCCTCATTGGGCGATATGTGATACGTGTGGCATATGGGTTTTAGCACCCAAATCAGCAAACTGGGTATTTGCTAGATTTGTATGGCATGCAAGGAAGTACACGTTATTTTATAATTATCAATCATTTCATAACGACATCCTTTCTGTACATTTGCCCGATTTTAAGTAACAGCTGCAGAGTAGCTTTGTCGGCGGGGCCGTGTAATGCAGTGAATCATACTTCTATGATGAAATTGTTTGCACGTATCTGTTGATCGACTTATTTAGCTTGTTGCGAGTGAATAACTGTGTTATGTCTGTCATCGTTTCGGCCCATGTAAGGTTCTGGACGGAAATTGGCTCAGTAATTTGGAACTAAGATAACGAGATAACAGTCGCTATTCGGACTACTATTTCTGACAGTTTGGTAATGTAGTGAACGATTAATCAAAAGATATGACGTGTTCAGTACTTAGTGTGATTGGCTGTATGATTAAAGGCCACGCCTTAGAATCTTAATACTTCTTTGTAATTGGTTAAGGTTTTGAAAGTGAATAAAGAGTTTTTAGTTGGTCTTTGCGAGCACACCACGACAGACGCAGTCCAGTCCTGGAGAGTCTTGGGACGAGTCTTGACGCAGTCTTGGAGAGTCTTGGGGCGAGTCTTGGAGAGTCTTGGGGCGAGTCTTGGCGCAGTCTAACAGAGTCTTGGGGGTCAGCCTTACGATAGTCTTGGGGACTTTTCCCCAGGGCGCTGTGTCTTATAGAGTGCTCGATTGACCAACTAAGACGAGAGTTGAAACGTATTTCGTTGTGTGTGTCTAATTGACTGTAAAGCTTAAGTGACTTTCCCGATCCCGCACCTCAAGGGGACGCGATAAAGAGACGAGACGAGATTCCCCCCTGACACGTGTAGAGAACCCTAGAGGAGAGAATTTCCCCCTGATACTTCCTCAAGCACGTTATATATTTGTAACGCGGACTTAAATATCTTAATATTCCCTTGAGGAATGGAACCAGTCATTCTGTTAAACGGTTTTTAAGCATTTTTGTTAACATTTTGAGTGTAATTGATTATGATGCCAAGACATCCCTCTTCAAAGATTAGTAAAATATTGAATTCCTGTTTAATTTACTCCAGAAACTATATATATATATTATATATATATATGTATATATATTGTAATATATGTAGTATATGTATATGCTATATCACATCAGATCACCTAGACCCTTAAGAAATAGTAAAATACTGAAGAGTCATTTCTAGTTCACTTTCAATTCAATATGGCTACCGAAACGTGTAATATTGGTTTTCTTTTTATAAATAATATATAAGAGGTTTCAATTCAATCGGACCAACTATTCTGTAGAATAAGATGTTTAAGCATTTCTGCTGTTTTTTTTAATTCAAACAAATTGCAGTCACGTGATTATTGCTTATATATTGTCAATACGAAACGGGGACTACTGTACGATTGTACTGTTATGCAATGTTTTCGTTCTACTCGGTAGCGTAAAATAACAGCGGAATAGACATCATCAGGTTTTTGTTTGTATAGTATGTATTACGTAATAAGAATAAAAGGTGTATTTTGCATAAAACACTCGCCTGACATGTAGGCGTGAGAAGGCCCTCGCCGGTCGAACGGCATCTCACCTCACTTGTTGGTTTTTGGAGCACCGCGGAGGGCGCAACTCACGCGATCTCATCAGGCTAATAAAACACGAGTACCATTCCTTATATTTTGTTATGCTATTATATGGTGATTTTTTTATTTAGTGGATACGCTCAACATTTGACTGTATCGACGTATACTGTGTTTTAACGTACGTTGAAAGAAAGATCTGTCATTGTGTATGATTTCGTTCATTGCGTGCCAAAAGAAAGTATTACTAATTAACAAATGTAAGATTTTCTCATGTATTTTTTATTATAAAAATTAGTGCGTAATCTTATAACATTATACCACACACTAAGGTTGAGCTGGAGTTTGTTTTGAATATGTATACAGTTGTTTTTACTCATTATCAAGTCCACCACTTTACTATAAGTAATCAAGTCATTATCCAGTACAATAGGTTGCAATCCCCACAGACTGGTCTGGTTCGATATGTTAAGTACAATAGGTTGCAATCCCCACAGACTGGTCTGGTTCGATATGTTAAGTACAATAGGTTGCAATCCCCACAGACTGGTCTGGTTCGATATGTTAAGTACAATAGGTTGCAATCCCCACAGACTGGTCTGGTTCGATATGTTAAGTACAATAGGTTGCAATCCCCACAGACTGGTCTGGTTCGATATGTTAAGTACAATAGGTTGCAATCCCCACAGACTGGTCTGGTTCGATATGTTAAGTACAATAGGTTGCAATCCCCACAGACTGGTCTGGTTCGATATGTTAAGTACAATAGGTTGCAATCCCCACAGACTGGTCTGGTTCGATATGTTAAGTACAATAGGTTGCAATCCCCACAGACTGGTCTGGTTCGATATGTTAAGTACAATAGGTTGCAATCCCCACAGACTGGTCTGGTTCGATATGTTAAGTACAATAGGTTGCAATCCCCACAGACTGGTCTGGTTCGATATGTTAAGTACAATAGGTTGCAATCCCCACAGACTGGTCTGGTTCGATATGTTAAGTACAATAGGTTGCAATCCCCACAGACTG